ACCCATAAGTCATTGTAAACTCAGTGGTGGAATGAGCAACTGAGGAGCTCCTGATTGTAAATGTTATCCACCTGGGTTATTTCTGTTGGGCGTGGCACAACACAATGTTATGGGAGGCTCACTCTCAGGTGCTTAGAATTCTGTTGTTATGATTGGTTGGTGTGGCCACTCTGCCAAACTCAAAAGGAGGCCTCCTAGAGGCAGAACTCTCTGACTGCTGGTTGAGGAAGATGTGCTGCTGAAAGAGACACGCACTACTGAAAGAGACACTTGCTGCTGGGAAAGAGATGCAAGAGACACACGTTGCTGAGTAAGACACTGAGGAACATGCTCTGCTGGGGCAGAGACTGTGAGAGACTTGGCTGAGAGATGGTGGGCTGGGAGAGAGACTGGGCATTTTTCCTGAACTTGAATTGTAGCCTGGTGCTTCCCTAATAAACCCTGTAATCTGTGAGGTCTGTGTGGCCACTGCAGTGAATTATCGAACCCAGGAGAGAGGTGGTGGTGCTTTGGGAGGAACAGTTGAAGAAAGGGCTGGAGGAAGGCAGCATGTCTGGCCTGGCAGGAATAGGCCTTGGGCTATTGATGGTGATTCTGTCTTCCTCTTGTGGGATTAGAGGAGGTCAGAACATGTGGCCTCCTTGCCCTTTTTGCATGTCACCCATTTTGTTTCTTATTCATGTTATTTGTATTTTCTCCCTCTATTCCTTTGTTAAATTTGCAGTGGTTTGTCAATTTTATTAATCTTTTCAAAAAACAACTCTGGTCTTGTTGATTTTTTTCTCTTGCCCTTCTATGTTCTGTCTCATTTATTTCTGCTTGAATCTTTTATTAGTTCCTTTCTCCTGGTGACTGTAGGCCTTTCTGTTCTTTTTCTAATTGTTGGAGATGCTGGCTTAATGTGTTGAATTAGGCTCTTTCTTCTTTTTTGATGTGTGCATTTATTGTTATAAATTGGCCTCTGATCACTGCTTTTGCTGTTCCCAAAGATTTTGGTATGTTGTGTTTTCATTCTTGTTTGATTCAAGAAATTTTTGAATTTCAATTTTTATTTCTTCTCTTACCCAGTCTTTCTCAAGGAAGGTGTTGTTCATTTCCTATGTGTTTACTTTTTTTCCATTGATCTTCCTATTGCTTATGTGTAATTTGATAGCATGATTTGAGAAGATGCTTTGCAGTATTTCAATGTTTTTAAATTTATGAAGGCTTGCTCTATGGCCTAACATATGGTCTATCCTGGAAAATATTCCATATGCACTGGAAAAGAATGTATCTTGTGCTGTTGTTGGGTGAAGTGCTCTGTGGATGTCTATAAGGTCAAGTTGGTGGACTGTATTGTTTAGCTCTTCTGCACCTTTCTTGACAAGTTTCTTTCCAGTTGCTCTATCTTTCATTGAAAGTTGTGTATTAAAGTCTCCCACTATGACTGTGGAGTCATCTATTTGCCTTTTCAACTCTTTTAAAACCTGATTTATGTATTTTGGAGCTCTTTCATTGGGTCCATAAATATTTATATGGTTATATCTTTTTGTTCAATTGATCCTTTAATCATTACATAATGTTCTTCCTTATCTTGTATGGTGGTTTTTGTCTTAAAGTCAATTTGATCAGAAATTAATATTACTACTCCTTCTCTTTTACGGTTGCCATTTGCTTGGTATATCTTTTTTCCAACCTTTGATTTTTAGTCTGTTTTTGTCTTTGCCTCTAAGGTGTGTCTCTTGAAGACACCATTATTGATAGGTTTTGTTTTCTTATCCAGTCTGCAACTCTCCATCTCTTGAGTGGTGCATTTAATTCATTAACATTCAGTGTTATTATCAGCAAGTATGAATGGGTTGGTGTCATTTTGTTATGTGTTTTTTCACGGTGTCCCTGGTTTCTTTGTTCCATATTATTAATTTTTTTTTTGCTGAGGTTATTATGTTTATGAATCGTATTATCATTTCTTTTGTTGCTGTTGTTTTAGTATTTGCTGAATATTTGTGCTTGTCTTCTTTTTTATTTTGTTGTGAATGTTTATAATTTTTCTTTGAGGTTACCCTGTGCTTTATAATTTCCTCCCTGAGTTTAGAACAGTCCATTCTGTCTTGCAACTCTCCTGACTTTCTCACCATTTAGAAGTTCTGTAATTACACAGTGTTTTCCCTCTTTTTGGTTTGTTGTTGTCCTCATTTGCCAATTGTTGTCTCTGGTTCCCTGTTTACAGTCTTGTGACCTTATTTTACTTTGGATATGTCCACAGCTGTGGTTTCTGGGTTATGTCATCTTGTATATTAGTGGTTGGTTGTTGTTTGCTATTTTTGGTTCTCTGTTCAAAGGACACCATTTAGTATCTCTTGTAAGGTTGGTCTGGTTTTAACCAATTTCCTTAATTTCTGCTTATCTGGAAATCCTGATTTCACCATCATATTTGAGGGACAATTTTGCTGGGTATATAATTCTTGGTTGAAATTTCTTGTTCTTTCAGGGTTTTACATATACCGTCCCATTGCCTTCTCACTTGCATGGTTTCTTCTGAGAAACCAGAGCTTATTCTTACTGGTTGTCCTTTGTAACTTTTTGTTTTTCCCATGCTGCTTTAAGGATTCTTTCTTTGTCTTTTGTTTTGATGTGTTTGATGATGATATGTCTTGGTGATTTTCTTTTGGGGTCTATCCTGTTTGGGGTTTTTTGGACTTCTTGAATAGATATATTCTCATCTTTCATATCAGGGAAGTTCTCCTCCAACAAATCTTGGACAATTTTCTCAGTGTTTTTATTATTCTCTTCCTGTTCTGGAATTCCAGTGACACCTAGGTTATTCCTTTTGATGGTATCCCACATGATCCTTAGGCTTTCTTCATTTTGTTTTGATCTTTTTCTGATTTATCCCTTTCCAAAGAAGTATTCAGGTATTTGTCTTCAATCTCATTAATTCGTCTTCCATTGCTTCAATTCTACTCCTTTGCCCTTTCATTGTGTTATCTATTTCTGACAGTATAGTGTTAATCATCTGCATTTCTATCTGTAGATTTAGAATCATTTCTAATTTTTCATTTATTTTGTCATTTTGTTCTTGTATTTTCTTCCAAAATTCTTCTAGGGTTTTGTCTATTTTTTCCTTGGTCTGTCTCTCAATCCTCTGAAGATACCTAAATATAATTCTTTTGAATTCCTTACCAGATAGTTCCAATGCTGTTTCTTCCTCAGGGATGTGTTCTGGGTCTGTATCCTGCTCCCTTGTTTCTACCACTTTATCTTGCTTCTTTGTATGGACTGTGATTGTCTGTTTTCTCTGAGACATTGTGACGTTGTATTTAGATCTCTGTTAACTGTTTGTAAAGAGCAGCTAGGCTGACTCAGGCTCTTCTTGGGGTTTTTTTTATCGTTGGCCCGTTGGTGAAGGAAGTGGTGGTTCTCACTCAGTAAGTGAAGCTGCAGGAGGTGTGGATGTAGTTGTGTTGTATGGGGACTGTTACTGTTTTCCACTCAGACAAAAATTGCAGTTGAATAACCATCAAAAAAGTAAAAGCAAATGGAGAAAAAAATATACTGTGTAATCCAGCAGGCGGCAGGGTTAAGTGCATTGCTGGCACCCAGGCCTAGGCACGATCCCAGAGCTCAGAATCTGCATGTGGGACCGGAGTCGCTGGCTCACGCCATGGGTCTCTGCTTCTGCCCTAACCACGCGGCCCTGTTACCATTTGGCCTCCTGTACCTCCTGCCCATTGTTAATGCTGCTCGCAGAAGCAGGGCTCCCTGCTGGATGTCATCCCCCGGTGGTGCTGGTGCCTGGGGATTTGGGCAACCAGCTGGAGGCAAAGCTGGACAAGCCAATGGTCATGCACTACCTCTGCTCTAAGAAGACAGATAGCTACTTCACACTCTGGCTGAACCTTGAAATGCTGCTGCTGGTCATCATTGCTGGATTGACAATATCAGGCTGATCTACAGTGGAACATCTCGGGCCACCCAGTTCCCTGATGGTGTGGATGTGCGTGTCCCTGGCTTTGGGCAGATCTTCTCACTGGAGTTCCTGGACCCCAGCAGAAGCAGTGTAGGTTCCTATTTCCACACCATGGTGGACAGCCTTGTGGGCTGGGGCTACACACGGGGTGAGGACGTCCGGGGGGCCCCTTATGATTGGCGCTGAGCCCCAAATGAGAATGGGCCCTACTTCCTGGCCCTTCGCAAGATGATCGAAGAACTGCACCAGGTGTACAGGGCCCCTGTAGTGCTGGTTGCCCACAGCATGGGCAACATGTACATGCTCTACTTTCTGCAGCAGCAGACACAGGCCTGGAAGGACAAGTACATCCGGGCCTTCATGGCACTTGGTATGCCGTGGGGGGGCATGGCCAAGACCCTTTGTGTCCTGGCCTCAGGAGACAACAACTGGATCCCAGTGATTGAGTCCCTGAAGATCCGGGAGCAGCAGCAGTCTGCTGTCTCCACCAGCTGGATGCTGCCCTATAGCCACACGTGGTCACCTGGGAAGGTATTCGTGCACACGCCCACCACCAGCTACACACTGCGGGATTATCGCCAGTTCTTTCAGGACATTGGCTTTGAGGACGGCTGGTTCATGCGGCAGGACACAGAGGGGCTGGTTGATGTCATGGTGCCACTTGATGTGCAACTGCACTGTCTCTATGGCACTGGGGTCCCCACGCCAGATTCTACTATGACAGCTTCCCTGACCGTGACCCTAAGATCTACTTTGAAAACTCACACAAGGACAGTAGCCAAAAAAAAAAAGGAGGGGAAAAAAAAAACCTCTGCAGTATCTGGAGAGAAGGCAGTACAAGAAAAAAGTAGAGAATCTGAATAATGAAGAAAAAACTGGTAAAAATGCAAAAAGAAAAACAAGGAATGGGGTTAACCATGTGAAAGAAAAAATAATTGCAACCAGGAACAGGGAAAAGAAAAAAAGCTGAAAACTAGAACCTGGGAGGGGAAGGATAAAGAATAATAGTAAAAAGGACAAAAGTAACAATAATAATACTAGTTTCAAAACAGACAGAAACAAACAAACTAAAAAACAGAAAGAAAAAAAAAATCAGGGCAGGGCAGGGTACCCAGGCTCTCTGTCTGAGCACGCAGACTGGGATGGAATTCCTGCCAGCCCAGAAGGTGGGTGGGAGTGACGGATGGCCACACCTCCGTTCACCAAGAGGGTGTGGGGTATGGTATAAGAGCAATGAGGAATGTTGTACCTTTCCAGTTGTCCGTGTCTAGAATGTTCTTGCGGTTTCTGGCAAGTGGAGCTTGTTCTTAAGTTCCTGGAATCTGGGAGAATGCTGTAGCTTTAAATATTATCCACAATGGTCGAACCATTTGTAAGCATTCAAAATGGCTGCACCCTCCAGACAGGGAAAGTCCACAGCTCAGCCTGTCTTCCTCTTTGCTGCTTCCGCTTTTATTCATCAGCCACCAGAGCAGTCCTCCGTGCAGTCCCTCACTAGCAGGGCTGATTTTTAGGTTCTTAGGTTCTACCACCACTTGGCAATATCCAAGCTGTCTGTGCCATCAGCATCATTGCCAGACTGTAGTTCCATATGGCTCCTTTTTTGGTGTTTTCATGCAAATTCTTCTGCTAGTTGGAGTTTTGTCCACTTCTATATCCTTCTCTTCAAGGCTCAAGGGTCCAGGATCATCTTCTGTGTCTGTGTTAATTGGTTTCCCTTTTCTTTGTTGAAGAGGGTCTGTGCAGTCTTTCTGCCTATTCTGCCATCTTACCGGAACTCCTTGCCATTCTCACTTCTTATGAGCGTTCTGGTTGTAATTCTTCCAAGACAGATTTGTTCATTCTTTTGGCAGTCCATTCCGTATTCTTCACCAAAAATTTAAAGGTATAAATTCTTTGGTCTTCCTTATACATTGTCCAGCTTTCACACGCATATGAGGTGACTGAAAATACCATGGCTTAGGTCAGGAACACCTTAATCTTCAGACATCTTTGCTTTTTAACATTTTAAAGGGGTCTTAGTGCCTAAGGCATGTGACTGCTAACTAGAAGCCTGGCAGTTCAAACCCACCAGCTATTACTCGTAAGGAAGACTGGGCAATCTACTTTCTACGCCATTCCTCTTTATATATTGTCATTCCTGGCATAGTACATCATATGGTTGTTGGATTCAAAATGGCCAAAACTGGTCTATTTCAGCTCACTAATGCCTACGATATCAATCTTTATGCATTCCATTTCATTTTTTGAAACTTCTAATTTTCCTACATTCATACTTTGTACATTCCATGTTCCGATTATTAATGGATGTTTGCAGCTGTTTCTCTTCAATTTGAGTCATGCCACATCAGCACATGGAGGTCCTGAAAGACTTACTTTATCCATATCATTAAGGTAGCATAGTGCCTAAGGCACTTGACTGCTAACCAGGAGGCT